ATGACAGGCAATTGGCAAATCGAAAAATCGTCAGTGAAATGCTGCTTCAAAGGTATGAAAGGAAGTCATTTCTGCATCGAATAGTAACGGGTGATGAAAAATGGATTTATTTCGAAAGTCCCAAGCGAAAAAAATCATGGTTATCACCTGGCGAAGGCGGCCCATCGACTGCGAGGCCAAATCACTTTGGTCGCAAGACCATGCTCTGTGTCTGGTGGGACCAGGTTGGTGTCGTATATTATGAACTGTTGAAACCTGGAGAAACAGTTAATACTGATCGCTAGCAACAACAAATGATCAATTTGAACTGTGCATTGATCGAAAAACGTCCACAATACGCTCAAAGACATGATAAGGTGATTTTGCAGCATGACAACGCGCCGTCTCATACAGCAAAACCAGTCAAAGAAATATTGAAATCACTTGGATGGGAAGTTTTATCGCACCCGCCATACTCTTCAGACCTGGCTCCATCCGACTACCACCTTTTCGCATCGATGGGGCACGCGCTTGCAGAGCAGTACTTCGCCGATTTCGAAGAAGTTAAAAAATGGCTCAATGAATGGTTTAGCTCAAAGGAGAAACAATTCTTTCGGAATGGCATCCATAAATTGCCTGAGAGATGGGCAAAATGTATAGAATCAAATGGCCAATACTTTGAATAAATATATTTTAACTATCCATTGTAAATAACGTGTTTTCTTTAGCGAAAAAACCGAAAAGGAATTACCGACACACCTGGTATATTAAATTTATATAAATTATTTACTCACATAGTATCAATAGCATTTTTATTTGAATAAAAAAAATGTGAATCAATTTTATTACATATAATTTAAAGTGAGTCATTGCTTATTATATTTTAATTCAAATTTATTTGATTCAAATAAATACGCCATTAGTACTATGTAAGTAAATATTTACTTACATTGAATACATATATTTTTCAGTGTTCCTAGATCATAACTTTCTATGATTGTTTAACTTATTCATAAGAAAAACGTATGCACAAACTTACAATTACGAATACATTTGAAAATCTATAGATGTGTGTAATATGTACGCTCGTAACTTTGAAGTTTACGCATACGTTTTTTCTTAAAAGTGAGTTAGAAAATCAAACCGCTAAGTCATACATGTTTACATATACGTGCGTGTTTCCACGCGCGATTGTCGTGATCGCCGCGGTTGTAGCGCGCGAAGCGTGTCTCTCGATTGTCATTTGTTTTCGGCGGTTGTCCTTCACAGTCAACGGTTATCTGCAAAGCGTCTATGGTGTTTCCAGTGCTGCGTAAAAATTATATGCTCGGATTATTACAATACAATAATCATAATTCGTTCGAAACATTCGATCTCATCTCAGTTCTGATCTCAACCCAGGAGCTTAACTGTACGGAAAGCATTTAGCACGAAAAATATCGCTTTGACGGGAACATTCTGTCGTGTGTGAAACGCGTATTGTCGTAACATATCTGTAATTATAAACACGCAATATGGCAGATGATGAAATGAAGAATATATTAAAGGATCTTCAACTGGACCTTGAAGATGATTTCAAAAGTGAGTATTGAGAGGTTATATAAAAAATGAACTTGTATCTTTCATAATAGAGTATGTGAGTATGGATCTTGCAAAAAGGAAATATCTTACACTTTGTCGAAGCAATTGTACTGTATATTATGTAATTTATCATTTTAATCGTTTTCAACCTGAAAGCAAAGTAAACTTGACATATGAGCTGCTTTACTGTCTTATTTTCTAAACAAATTATATTTAACAGGTTTATGTGAATCATATATATGAATACAATGTATATGTCTATGTAGTAAGATTATTTTATAATAATAATTTGTTGCCTCTGTTATCAAATACTGTGGCACACTAAATCATACGCAGCAAGATAATGAATATGAATCATATATATTTCCTCGCAGCTCAGAATTTCAATGCAATAATTTAATATTCTTACTCGACATTTAAGACTTAAGCAATAAGATCCATATAAGCACTCTGATGCTTTGAATACAAAAGGCTAATATCCTTTAAAATCAATATTTTTATTTATATTTGCATATATATTTTCATTGGCATATCATATATGAATATGTTAACATTCTTAAAATTTATGTGTATTTTTTGCTAGGTAAATGTAATACTTATGTAGATATGATTATTAGATGTGCTTAACCGTTTGAGTCCCAAGCAGCGCGATCGCGCTGTTCAGATTTTATGTCGAGAAAACCCAGTACATTTCGATCATTGTGGACAACTGACGGTGCGTTACCGATTGTCGAAGTCGCGCGCTCAGATTTACTGAAGCAAGTATATCACACCGATCCTTTTAATGTAAATAGTACATTTTATAATAGGTAGAATAATACTATAATAATGCAATAATACATTACAAAATAAAAATTTTTATTTCATTGTTATCTTCTCAATAATTTTTATCGAACAAAACTTGAAATATTTATAAATTTACAGTACGCATATGTAATAATACAGATGTATTTTATAAAATAACGAATTACAAATTAACAATATTTTTGTGTTATGAACAAATAATTTAAATGGAGAGTAACAATTATAATTTGTAACATCGGTGTTTATCAAAACATGTTGGATGGATTCCTTTTGCTTCGTTGCTCCGTTGCTTCGTCTAATCATTTTGAAACACACAATTATTAACAATGAGAAACACTTACGCAAGAATACGTCCGATCGCTTTGCAAACTACAATAAATGTGACAGAGCGATGAGAAAAAGACGAGAATCGCGTTACCTAACAAATACAAGAAGCGGTATTGGTCCGATTGGGATTCATCGATGTAAAATAAACAAAGCGCTATCGCGCTGCTTAGTATTTCTCGACCTAAAATAAAACAAGCGCTATCGCGCTGCTTGGGTCTTTTCATACTCATTTATAGAAAGCGCGGTTGCGCTGTTTTGGGATTCTTCGACAGTGTTTTTTCAATACCCCCTGGGACTCAAACGGTTAATCATATGTGTTATTATAGAATAAATCACTTCCCAGTTAACCATGTACTTGCCGAATGGGGGCAATTTCCTGTCAAACAACGCTGCCAAATTCAGTACACCTCAATTATCGATAATCATTTTACATCCTTTTCCTTTATCAACCGCGCAAAGACAAGGTTATATCTTTATTATTATATTATTGGTGATCCGTTTGGAAATGGCATCAGAAAACGATGTAAGTATTATATATTATTAAACGGCAATTACAAAAATACTGACAACCATATATTAATATAATAATTATTATATATATTATATACCGTATATTAATATAATATATATATATATGTATGCAGCAATTATAATTCTTTTAATATAGAGTTATATATATTGTATCTCATTCCTTTCTTTTGATGTTTAAATTCAATGCATGTCATTAAGTTTATTGAAAATTTAATTGCATCATTTTAATGTTTTTTGCTATTATAGACATCGTAGATACTAACATTATAGATTTATATGAATACAATTGGTCTCTGTAATAACAGACACCATAGAAATATCTAGGGTCGAGACATAGCCTGCTGAGAAGATCTGCCCTTTTTCTATTTAAGAGTAGTAGGGATGAAAAGCGAATGAGAGGAAGGGAATTCTTCTATAAGGTTCCACCCATTCCTATTGTCTCTGTTATTCCTACTATCCTATCCACTATTAACAAGTTATATCTGTACCATAGGTATTGCCTACATAGCAGAATTATGACAGTCTAGACCAGTTTATAGTGAACATATTTATGAATAAATTATCTATAAGTAATCGTCCTTAAATTTTTCAGGAACCAGATTTACTTGAAGTACTGGATCAAGTGGAGGCAGCAGCAGAAATTATAAAATTAAAAAAGAGATTGAAATGTTAAAAGACAAAATTAAAGAGCCATCACCGCCGCCGCCACCGCCGCCACCGCCACCGCCGCCACCGCCACCGCCACTTCCACCTTCACCTGCACCACCACCACCACCGCAATTCCAACTATCAACAGCTCCAGCATCGGAGCCAGCAAAACAAAGTAAGTACTTATTGTTACGTATTTATCGACCATTATATAGTAGAAATATGACAATAATATTTATAATAACATTTTTATAATTACAGATCCAAGAAGATGGCAGCGTGCCGGCAGAGCACGCCGTAGGGGCCGTGGAAGAGGATGCGGGGGATATGGAGCAAAACGTTTTTATTTTAACTTTTAATTTTTAACTTTTATATATGTATATATGTATATAAAATATATATTTTTATAATATAATAAATAAAATATATATATAATTAATAAATAAAATATAATATAATAAAATATATATTTTTAACTTTTATATATGTATATATGTATATAAAATATATATTATTCTTAAAATATGTAGTCTATGAAAAAAATAAAATATCTTATTAATTCTATATTATAATGTATTAATTTAATATTTTACCAAATTATTATTGTATATCCAGAGATCTCTGCATTTGTAACAGATAATATATTAGTAAACTCATTTAACTCTGAATTCGAATATGAATTTACTAAAGACAATTTTAAAATTATGATATTAAAACAAGCCTTAGCTTATTCGGCACAAAACTTGACATTTTCGCACGAAAAAAATTATGTGATGCTAATACGTAGTCACTAATACTTCAAGGTTATGTTGTTACCAGATGTCCAAACTTACGATATTACGTTTTACATCTGACAATTTCAACATAACCTTCTGATGGGGCCATCTTTTGTTAAACGGCGGAAATTTATTTGTACTCCTAATATTATTACAGATCTCTGTCAGGCAAATGAAGAAAATCATAATTTAAGTACTGGAACGAGTATGGAAGATACAACCGATAATATAGATAATAATAGCGATAATAGTTATGTAGTTATAAGTAGTATTATGTAGTAGTATAAGTAGTAGTTATGTAGTTATAAGTAGTGTATATAATAGCGATAATAGCGATGTAGTTATGAAATAGAAATGACTGTACCAACCACAGACACAGATACCGGTACTTCCTCAATGTCTAATGCACTAAAAGATATAAATAATCATTCCACGCAAGTAAGTATTGTAATAAAATATAACAATAAAATTATAACATACAATATAGGTAAAATATATATACCAGAGAAGCCATGATCTTCATAATAAAAAGCTGCTGTTTCTTCTTTTTCCTCCACAGTAGGGTATTTTATGATATCAGGTGCCATAAATAAATAAGAGAAATGCCGTAACTCTCGTATTAACATTGTGTAAAGCACTTATTGTGATGCCAAATTTATCAGCAACTTCACGATATGAAGAACTTTTATGCCCTACGAACCATAAATAACATAGCAGATGCTTCTCAGCTGTTATTTTTGAACGCCCAACATCTAAAAGAATAATACAGTATTACCCACATAGCACCGCAATATTGCAGGAATATTACAGAAATGTTGCAGGAATATTACAAAAATATTGCATAAACATGACAACAATATTGCAGAAATATTTAATGTCCTAGGTATAAGTCTCGCAGAAATATTGCAGGAATATTGTTATGATGTTGTAGGAATATTGTCACAATATCACAGGACTATTGCTACAATGTTGTTGAAATATCGCCACAATCTTGCAGGAATACCTATGAAATATAGCACAATACTGCAGAAAAATTGCAAAATATTGCCGAAATATTACTGCAATCGTGCAGGAATGTTGCTACAATATTTCTTAAATGTTGCTGCAATATTGCAGGAATATTAATGAAATATTGCATAAATATCACAACAATATTGCAAAAATACTTAATGTCCTAGGCATAAATCTCGCAAAAATATTGCGGGAATATTGCTATGATGTTGTAGGAATATTGTCGTAATATCACAGGAATATTACCACAATATTTTTTAAATATCGCTACAATCTTGCAGGAATATCTCTGAAATATAGCCACAATACTGCAGAAAAATTGCAAAATATTGCCGAAATATTACTGCAATCGTGCGGGAATGTTGCTACAATATATCAGGTGTAGTAAAAAGAAATCCATTATTTTTGCATGAAATTGAAGACTTTAATTACCATAGTTAGAATGATCCGATCTAGGTCATATATGCGCCGTTTTGTTCGATAACTTGTTGCCATTTTGAAGGTAATTTCATTATGCCTCTCTCATAGAAGCCCTCGTCCCTATTGGCAAAAAATTGTGACAGTCGATTTTCACAAGCCTCTCTTGAAGCGAATTTTTCACCAGCAAAATTGTTCGCCATGGACAGGAACAGATGGTAATCACTTGGTGATGGTAATCACCAGGTCCGGACTATAAGATGGATGCATAAGAACCTCCCAACCAAGCTCCCGGAGCTTCTGGCGAGTCACTATCGATGTGTGTGGCCTGGCGTTGTCCTGATGGAAACACAATTCCTCTCCTATTGGCCAAAGCTGGCCGCTTCTGGGCGATTGCTTCCTTCAGACGGTCCAATTGTTGACAGTACAGTTCCGAGTTAAGAGTTTTGCCGTAGGGGAGCAGCTCATAGTAGATAATTCCCTGCCAATCCCACCAAACACACAGCAAAACCTTCCTGGCCGTCAATCCTGGCTTGGCCACCGTTTCCGCCGGCTCACCGCGATTCGACCACGACCGTTTTCGCTTAACGTTGTCGTAGTGATCCACTTTTCATCACCAGTGACCAACCGCTTCAGAAATGGGTCGATTTTGTTGCGATTCAGCAGCGATTCGCAGATGGAAATTCGGTCCATGAGGTTTTTTTCGTTAACTCGTGTGGCATCCCATACATCGAGCTTCTTTTTGTATCCAGCCTTATTCAAATGGTTCCAAACGGTTTTTTGTGCAATCTTTAGCTCTTGGGCAATCGAAACAGTGCTTACATGACGGTCGGACTCGACAATGTCCATGATTTTATCGATATTTTCGACAATTGGCCTTCCAGTGCGTGGTGCATCTTTGACATCGAAATTACCGGAACGGAATCGACGAAACCAAAATTGCGCGTGATTGGCTGTTACAGTATCAGGACCATAAACACTATTCACATTTTCAGCCGCCTGGCTTGCGTTTTCGCCTTTATCGAAGAAAAACTGTAAAATATAGCGTATTTTCTCTTTGCTAGTGTCCATCTTTGACGCGTGCTCAAACAAAACTGAGTCAACTAATTACAAAACTGTCAGAAAAGTTTTTTTAGTACGAAATCTCATCTTTCTAACGCCATCTAGTGGAACCCGATCGAACTTATACAACGCGAGATACAGATAACTAAAGCCATCTATTGGAAAAATAATGGATTTCTTTTTACTACACCTGATATAATATGTACATAATATAAGTTTTACAAGTACAAATGATATCATGTTATAACAATTTTACACGTTTATTAGTAGTGTCCAATATTTAATTTATCATTATTTCCCTGGTGAAAAAAAATCTCATATTTTCTCATAAATTTTCTCTGACTTTTTGTAAAATTCTCAGATTTTTATAAAATTTCTCAGATTTTTTGTAAAATTCCTCAGAAATTGTGCAGATTTCTCAGAATTTTGTAATAATTCTCAGAATTTCTCCAATTTTGTACACGAATTCGAATAATATTTCAGAAAAACTCAGATCTCTGAAAATGTGAAAATCTGAAAATTTCTCAATATTCCTCAATATTTCTCATATATGTTCAGTAACAGATTTCTGAAATATGTGAAATATTTTCATAAAATTTCAGATTGGTCAATAATAACGCTGGTAGCAGACTGACGTAAAATGACGTACTAATGACGTCTTAATGACGTCTCTAACGTCATTAAGACGTCATTAGTACGTCATTTGACGTTAGTCTGCTACCTGGGGAGTTTGATTCATCTATAGTAGTCCGGATCTATAATAGGTGCAATAATAAGCCTTATGCTTTTTTATTTAAGCGATAAAATACTCTGGCGGAAGATATTCTATAAAAAGTACGAAAAATTATGAAAATGGTCCAATTCTAGCATTTTTACATAGAAATTTACGTAAAAATGCTAGAATTGGAACATTTTCGTAATTTTTCGTACTTTTTATAGAATTTTTTCCGCCAAGGTATAACGTTATTTTTTATAAAAAAAGGCATCCCTACGCTTCTAAAAGTCGTAATAACGCTTACATTTTTCGTATTGCGACGTCTTGTAGTACTGGAAACGCCTATTGTCAGAAATGATAAAAGTATATATATGTTATTGCTTAATTCATAAGGCTTAAGGATTACTACTTATTATACACTGTAAGAAAGTGTGTAAATTTACATGATACGAAGCTCATATTTGAGCTACATTTTTCTGTACATGATACACACTTCATGTGAACACCTTCAAAAGAATTTATCGCAGTTACAATCATAACGGCTTCGTTCAGTTTGGTCGCTCATGCGCTGTAAGCGTTACTTTATCTTCTTTTGCAAGATAATGAACAATAAAAATAGAATGACACTTATAGTACGTGAGCGCCTAAACGGAACGCAGCCGTATGTGTGATTCACGGACAAAATACTTTTTAACAAAAATAATTAAAGACCAATTTGAAATCTTATGAATATAGTTTATATATTCTCAGAAACCTTGGTTGGTGACGTTGATGGTGACTTAAATAATTATTCATAAATAAAAAGTTTGTTAAATTTTTATTTCATAAACTACATTCATATATAATAAAAAGATATAATGGAATATATATTCTATGTACGTTTTTTGTTACATATATATACATATATATATACAACATGAGCTTAATATAAAGTTCATAACGTAAATAAAAGAAAAAGCAGCGTATTTAATTCATTTTAAGAAAAGTTACCTCGATACATTTTGAAAATTAGAAAAATGTTTTGAAATCTGATTACGTGCTTGCTGATTATGTGCTCCTCAAGATCATACTCTAATTGAAATGTTAAAAATAAAAATCATTTTTTATGAGATCATAATAAAGTATTAAAAAACCAAGAATATGGAGCATAAATCTATTGCACCGCATATGAGGTACTTTAAAAAGATAAATGTTTATTCGTCATAGGTAATATTTGTATCTGAGTCATTATCGTCAGAGGTTTTATTGTCGTTTACGACACTTTGATTGGAATCATCGTTGTTACCAACAAAAAGTTTTCTACAACGATGAATGGCTCTACCAAAATAAGAATTAATATTTCTCATCTCTGTTGCAGCTGCTTGTCCAGTCCAGCCATTATGCAATAACTATTTTTGAAAAGCTTCACTTATAGCATTCTTTTTACTTGGAGTTAAAGTTTTGCGGTTAATGCCAACTTGTTGCCGCACTATTCTATTACTTGCGACGCGATTTTCGCTCGCCGTCGGCAAACTGCCGTCGGTCCGCGCGCCTCGGCCAACCCAGCTCTCACGAAATAGGTTGGGCGCCAGGTGCAACGGGCTGCACCGCTCACCAACGCTACGCTACACGCCACCAAAGGGCCGAGACACGCGAAGTCGACGGGACCGGTAGCTCTTCGATATTTAAGTCGGTAGACGGGAAGGGTTCGTCGGAAGTCGGGAGCGACCGGGAAAACACACGAACAACGAGGCGCGTTTCGAATATCTTCAGTTTTATTATTTCGGGAATCGGGACGGTCCGACCCCTCGATACGGTACATTCAGTTTGGCTCTCGCGGATTCGAGACTATCGCCGATAACCTTAACGAGACTCTTTACGTTCACGACACCGAACAATAACGCAGGTGGAAGGTCTTACAGAATCGGGAACCTCCCGGCGACGTGGTCCTCCGCTTTCCTCCTTCGCTCGCTCGCTCGCTCGCTCGCTGCCACTGACGTTCCCTTCTAGGGCGAGGGGTACGTCCGAATTCCTCCACTCGCCAATGCCAACCTTCACCAATCTCCTTTTCTTCGATAGTCGTGATCCCTCCGGTAATACTCGGAAGCAGGTCGGCGATATTAGAGAGCGCGACAATGGGAGTCTCTTCTTTTTATTTTCTTCTCCCGACAGGCTTTCTTGCCCGTTTGTGTTGTCTCGTGCTACCTATCTTTCCCCGTTCCTCGGTAAATCTCCCTATACGGGAATCCTTCCGCGGATCTTTGTTTTTCGATCCGCGGGACGGGTGCTCGGTCTCACTCTCTTGCTCCTTCTCTCTCTCTCTCTTGCTCACACTCGCCCGGTCTCCGTGTTTAGGCTGGCTTTGTCTAGCCGGCGTTCACGCGCCAAGCACGGAAACGCCGACCGTTCGCGATATCCTTGCAGGCCTGTGGACAACGGAAGCGGCCGCGAGAACCTTTCACAACGATACGGAACCGATAATAGTATTGCAAAAAGATTGCGTTCACCTGGGGTGGCGGTCCAGCTGAGAGCGTCGTCCTCTTCCCTCCCCACCTGTCCCTTAGGTCCTGATGGGCGGCGCGGGAGGTCCAGGGGCACAGAGCTTGGGGACGCGGGACCGTTCCACCTGCACGCCTCGATTGCTGACACTACTGACTAATTATTACGGGGGGGAGTGCAAGGCGACACCCCCCCCCCCCGAAAGTCTCGCCTAAGGGCCGAAAGGTCGGCCTGGGACGGGCGCCTTTCCGGCTGCCACGTCACATACTTAATTCTTCTACAGTCCACATTCCATATGTGAACGAAATTACAAATAAGCTCGGTCTTTTAGCTACTTGGCTTCATCAAAAGCTGTTTTATTTGCCCAATGTCCGAACCCAACATAAATTTCATGTCCGCGAACAGTCCCAATCTTAGTATCCAATTCTTCTGTTGGAGTCACATCATCCATTTTGTTTTTACCTGTAAAAAAATCTTCATAAAAGCATTGATATATTTGTATTGAAATATTTTTATTATTTTACATGTCTGTAACAAAATAATCGATAAAATAAGTGTAAAAAAATCATCATTTTGTATTGTTAAGAAAATAAAAAGGAACAATAAGACATTAACATCACAATCAATTTTGTTTGAAAGTTACCCTTTTCTGCTAGGAAAGAAAGTATTTCTTGGCCGGTTCTCTCTGTAAGTGGAAATGCCTTAGATTTTGTCAAATCCTCATATTTTTGACGATAATATTGTGCTTCTTCCTCAGCAATCTTTAATTCTTGTTTTAACTTCTACTTCATTTTCCAAATTTAAAATTTCGGATTCATCATTAAACTCAATATTTGATTCGCTATCAACAAGTATCTTTCTGTTTGTTTGCTGTGAAAACCACTTGATTCAGTTTTTCAACCAGAAACTACAGAAGTTCTTCATCGATGGCATCATGGCTCTACTCCAAAAATAGCGAAACATTGTCGATAATAATGGAGCATATTTGATTTAAATAAATTCATTTTCACACTATAAGAAAACCAGTTGCATTTTACTAAAAAAAAGGCCACAAACTTTTTCCCAGACCCAATATATTGCTGTTTTATTTCACACGGCGCAGTCGAGTCTGTCGCGTGTAGCACACCGGTTCTCTGGTTGCGCCCGGGCTTCGTACCAGAACGTCCGGAATCTGATAATTATATATCATTGTATACAACCTTATATGGACAAAATGAACATATATAAATTTTTTTCCCGGATAGTCTTTAATTGATTAATGTGCAACATCTAGTGCTTATCTTCTTCTGCAGCATATTTTTATATTACATGTATTATGATAGAACATTCCTTTTTGACATACCTCGCATGATAGTTTGTAATTTCCATGCATTTCTTTGTCACAATGTAATGTTAGCGATTTTACATTACGTGAGTAAGTTTTTAATTGTGACGTAGAAGCTGCAGATTGTTCCAAATTTTCCTACAATTTCGTCGATTGTCACCGCAAAATATGATGCAAGCAACAATTAATTATAAAATTAACAGTAATTGTCATATTAATATCAATTCACTACATTACATAATAGATATAACTGCTTCCTAAGAATTCTGTATTTTCTATCAATAAATAGTCACAAAACGTGATGAAATGTACTCGTATAGTATATAGTAACATTTTTACATTAAAAATAAATGTACATACGCATACTAGGTTTTCATTTTGCAAATAAGCATTGAGTATTCTTGTACTTGTTTCCTGCTTTTCTCTTTCTATTTGTTTTTTTAGTGTCTGAAAGTTCGGAAAGATAACAATATTTTATATCTCAAATTGCCCTGTGAATATGCTTTACATTAACTATTACTACATAGCCGTACCTTTCTCTTTTTCTTCTCAGGACTTTTTATTTCTGTATTCTCATCCACTATAGGCTCATCAATAATTGAGCGCCTTACTTTTGGGATTTGGAAACGTTTAGCTGTCATCTACTTCTCAATGTCAGCTTTGCTATCTGTAAATGAGTAAATGAAATTACAGCACAAAAGAATGAAATGGTTATTTATATTAATTTATATATAATTATAAATGAAATTTGTCCATATATGGCTACTTATATGTAACCATATATGATTAAATATACAGGGTGATTGGAAACAACCCTGGGTCCTTGAAAAGACGTAATCCTGACTAGATTCTGAGACGATTTTTCCTTTTACAAAACTTTATCCGAAATCTAGTTTTTAACTTATAAAAGGAAATAGTTTTCTTCTCACGAGTTGAATACAGAAAGTAGGCAGTGGCGGCGCAACTCACCGTCAGACGTGACAAGTGACAGCCCCCTACATAAGCGATGACGTCTGAGGCGGTAAATTGCGCCGCCATTGCCTACCTCCTATATTCAACCCGTGATAAGAAAACTATTTCCTTTTATAATTGAAAAACTAGATTTCGGATAAAGTTTTGTAAAAGGAAAAATCGTCTTAGAATATAGTCAGAATTACGTCTTTTCAAAGACCCAGGGTTGTTTCCAATCACCCTGTATACCCTATTGAAAAATTTTTATTCAAATCACAATTGAGAACTATATTGAGAACTCAAGTGAGAACTTGAGTGAGATTTCCGCAATAATCCGCATATAAAATCTTTATTGAGATCTCACAGTTCAAATCTCAGTTGAGATCTCAGTTGAAAAATTTGATAAAAATCCCAATCAAGTTCTCAATAGAATTCTCAATTGAGATTTTTCTCAACTAAGATCTCAATAAAAATTTTAAATGCGGATTTTTGTTGAAATCTCATTTGCGATCTGAATTGCGAAAATAAAATTTTTGCAGTAGGGTAATTATATATAATTATATATAATTGTATATAATTTTAAATAGAATTGTATATGGACAAATTTTTTACGTAATACATTTTTTACCTGGACGTGCGTTTAATTCAGTTAACAGATTTAAATATGATGGCACACACGCGCACATAGTGACACACTTAAGGTTTTATATTTATCAAAAAATGAATGAATAGCCTAATTACAATGTACATGCATACATGATATAACATGTAGCAGATTATATCAGTTAACAATTACTTCATACATATTGATGATTGTTATCTATTTTTAATTATATCAAAATTTATTATAAGAATCGGTATATTTTTTGAATCACAATATTTTATTACATAACATGTGCAAAGAAACAAATAGTAAGAATGCAATTTAAAAGAAGTGCTGAAGTAAGCATTGTATATTTTCAATAGCAAAATTGAGCAGAGAATAAGGAAAGAAAAGAATGATGTTGAAGGAAGCAAGCTGACAAATGAACAAAATATATTTGGATATCGCAGTGACATCACATTGCAGTGATATTACGATATTCCAGAGATATAATAAGATGGTAATTTTACTATCTCAAGATATTGTAAGATACAGACGAGGGAGGACAGCACTAGTCTATTCCAGGGGGGAGCCACGGGAGAAAGACCGGTCCTAAGAGATCAGACTCGACGGATGGAGAAAAGGATAAAAGGAGACGCACGGAGAAAGACGGAGCTTTTTGCCTTTGGCTTTTCGCCTTTAGCTTTTTGCCAATTAACGTCGAGACGAATAATAGAAATAGAGTCAAGTCGAAGAAAGAGTCGTAGAGCGTTAAGCTTTGTAAAGAGATATATTTTATATAAGTTGCGGTGTCGGATACTATTGTATTATTGTTCATTTAAAATATACATACTTATATTCTTGTTCATAATAAGAAGAGTTCACATTAATCGCTCGGAACCTTAACATCCTGAACATCCCTCTTTTACAAACTAAGGAAGAGGATCAAGAAGAAGAGAGACAGAAAGATAATAGAATAGAGAAATAGAGGATCTCTCTTTTTTTAAATCTTACAGCCGCAATTTCTTTCAGAAGTGGGATACAGCTCATGCCAATTACGCGATTACAGTTTAAAGAACAGCAATTAAGAGTCGGAAAAATGAACAGGAATGTGCTGGATGGAATGACGCTGAAGCAGCTGCAGGAGGAAGCAGTAAAATTCCGATTGCCGGTATCGAACGACCGTGAACGGATGATAGAACAAATGATGTCCCATCTAGAGCGACACGGGCCGATGAGAGACCTTCTTGAACCAGAGGAGAGCTCCCGAATGGGAAAAGACCGACAGGCTGCGGTGACCTCAGCCGAGGAACAAAGAATGGAGCAGCAGACGGAAGGGTCCTCACAGAATATGATTGGTCAAGTCACGGACAGTTTGGCCAAGATGCAGCGCTTAATGCAGGAACAGCAACAACAATTTATGCTGCAACAACAAAATCAGTTTGAACGGTTGCTTCTAGTGCTATCCAACAGGAGACCAGAAGCCGGTCTTCCGACTGAGCACCAAGGCGGAGGAAGATCGACGCAAAATTCTACACCGTCGGGAAGTGACGGCGTGGTGACGGGTCAAAACCCCATAGAAATGCAACAATCGCAAATCTCGGTTTCTACCTTAGCGTCGCAGATTCCGGAGTTTGGTGGAACCGAAGAGGAGAACGCTAAAATCTGGATACAACGAGTCGACTGTGTAGCGGCTATACATGGAGCGACAGATGGTGTGACGCTGCTTGCAGCAACGGCGAGGTTGACGGGTGCAGCCAGGAAATGGTATGATGCACAATACGGACCGATGCTGCAAACATGGAGAAGGGTAAGAGAAGAATTGCTTAAAATTTTCGATCGAGAAATTGCCTTCTATAAAATTATAAATAAAATAGAGAATCGAAAATGGAACGCGGCAAAAGAAACATTTGATCAGTACGCCCTGGACAAATTAGTGCTGATGCAGCGAACAGAATTATCTATCCAAAATAAGATACAATTATTGATAAGCGGAATAGCGGTGAGCGCGTTGAGAGCTACAGCCTTGTCATTATCGGCGGAGACGATTGAAGACTTTTTGACCAAGATGAGACGAATCGCGGAGGGCGTGATCGAGACAGAAAGGAAAGCGCCGATCGGGTCGAATATTGCACGTTCTAGAGAAATAAAATGCCGAAATTGTAACAGAAAAGGACATCCCCACAAGGAATGTCGGAGTGAGCCGACGTGCTTCTACTGTAAAGAAAAAGGGCACCGGCAGTTCGAGTGTCCAGTCTTGAAGCGAAGGGAAGGAGCTGTTATTCCAGTAAGGACGCCAGCCTATGCAGGAGGACGTCGAGCGGCAGGAGATGATGCCCCGAGACAACCGGTTGCCGTGGTGCAGGAGCAGGAGGTAGCGCCGGAGCAGGAACAGGAACTGCGAGTCAGCGAGCCCTTTATATCGGTCGCAACTATAATGGGTAAGCGATGCCAGATTAAAGCGCTAATAGACACAGGCAGTCCAGTATCGTTTATTAACGAAAAATTATACAAAAAGTATATATAGCCGAGAATACTGACGTTAAAACCGGTCGGAACAAAATTATACAATTTAAACGCGCAGCCGTTAGCTATTTTAGGATCAACGCAAGTATAGCTAAAACTCGAGCCAACAGAAAACATAGAATATGATGTCGATCTCTTTGTATTATCGAGATAATCTTTCCAAGGAGAAATAATATTAGGACGCGATTTTCTATACAAAGAAAGAATCTCTTTTGTCTTCAGACCGCGAAGTGAAAAAGTAGAGCGAGTTTGTCTGTTCGAACAATTGCCTTTGTGTATCGAGGAAGGCATAGATAAAACCGTTAACGATAGACTAGACGATATCAAAATAGATTATAATAGACAGACAAAAGAAATGTTGCTAAATCTATTGTTATCCATGAACAATAAAGAGATCGAGGCAATCGAAGACGGGCACGCGATACGTGTACCCTTGAAAGATAAGTCGATATACGCGTATGCCCCGCGTCGGTTTGCGTTCGCTGAGCGCGACGAGATCAAAAAAATTATTGACAATCTATTAGCACGTGACATTATCAAACCAAGCATATCGCCTTATTGTGCTAGGATTGTACCGGTGAAAAAGAGAAACGGTAGCATGCGGTTATATGTCGATCTACGACCTTTAAATAGTCGTGTAGAAAAACAAAAATACACTTTCCCGCTAATCGAAGATTGCTTAGCAAAACTGGCGAATAAATCCATATTTACATTGTTGGATATAAAAGACGGTTTCCATCATATAAAAATCGATGAGCGCGACACAAAATACTTTGCTTTTGGCACACCAGATGGCCAGTATGAATATAAAAGATTACCCTTTGGCTATAGCGAAGCACCGGCCGAAGATTTCAAAAGAGGTTATTGCAGATCCTGAGACCGTTAATTAATGACGGAAAGATTATTGTATATATTGACGATATTTTGATCGCATCAGATAACATAGCCGAACACTTAGAAGTAATTGGAGAAGTGTTAATTATTTTAAAACAATATAAATTCGAGCTTAACTACGATAAGTGCTTGTTTTTGCGAAAAGAAATCGAATTTTTGGGTTATATCGTGAGAGCGAACGGTATTACCTTGAATCAACGACATGTCGAGGCAATTACAAAGTTTAGAGAACCGCGATCAACGCATCAGGTGCAACAGTTTTTAGGATTGACCGGGTACTTCCGAAGATTTATAAAAGATTTCGCGTTAAAGGCTAGGCCTCTACAAGACCTACTAAAGAAAGGCGCGGTATTTGACTTCAGTCCACATTGTCGGGAAGCCTTTAATATTTTAAGAACAGAGCTTACATCGTTTCCAACTCTGCGGTTGTATGATCCAGCGGCGGAAACGGAGATCCATACCGATGCTTGCATCCAGGGGCTGGGCGCGATATTATTACAGCGACGAAAAGACGGGGTGTGGGCACCCATTGCTTTTTACAGCAAGACAACGAATCAGGCTGAGGCCAAGTATCATAGCTTCGAGCTTGAAATGTTAGCGGTGGTTAGAGCGGTTGAACGGTTCCACGTTTATGTATACGGAAAAAGTTTCACCGTAGTCACTGATTGTAATGCCTTGGTATATGCTGTAAACAAAGCCAACTTAAATCCACGAATAGCACGGTGGACATTAGCTTTACAAAATTATAATTTTAAATTGACTCACCGGTCGGGTAAAAAGATGGCTCACGTAGATGCCTTGAGTCGAAATGCAGGGTATGTAGATGAAATGCCATTAGAAAGAGAGCTGGAGTTTAGGCAGCTGGCCGATCCCCAGCTTCAAGCGATTTGTAGACGGTTGGAATTCGAGGATGATCCCAAGTTCGCGTTGGTAGACGGATTGTTGTATAGGAAATAGGATGAAAGACTAAAATTCGTGATACCACAGACGATGACGGTAAATGTGATTAGGATCTATCATGATCAAATGGGACACTGCGGAATCGAAAAGACAGTGCAGGGAATTACTCAGAATTATTGGTTCCCATCGCTAAGAAAAACAGTAAAAGATCATATAGAAAATTGTATCACTTGTCTAATGACGAATAACTTACCACGAAATAAAGAAGGGGAACTGCATGTAGAAACAGTATCGCGAAATCCAATGGAAGTCTTGCACATTAACCACTTTGGGCCGTTAGCGTCGACAAAGCAGGGTAATAAACATATTTTAGTAGTAGTAGATGCGTTCACAAGGTTTACGTGGCTTTTTCCCACTCGATCCACCGGATCGAAAGAAGTGATCGAACGGCTACGTTCTATTTTTTGTACATTCGGGAATCCAAATGAAGTAGTCAGCGATCGAGGAACGGCTTTTACGTCGACCGAGTTTAAAGAATTTATTAACGAACAGCGTATTAAGCATCGCAAAGTAGCAGTAGCATCGCCATGGGCGAATGGCATGGTTGAGCGCACGAACCGTTTCCTGAAAGCCGTGTTAACAAAAAGTAGTAGTATATCCGAAGAATGGGAAGAAGAACTAAGACACGCGCAATACGTCATCAACAACACGTACCATGCGTCCATTAAGTGTTCCCCATCCAAGTCACTGCTAAGTTACGACAAACGTAGTCACGTGGACGCGGCGCTCGTACAATTTACTCGTGAATGGGTGAAAGAAATGACCGACGTCAATGACGAACGAAACGAAGCGCGAATGCTGGCACAACAAGCCAACGAAGTTGTAAAAGCGTACAATAAGAGATACTACGATAAACGACACAGAAAACCGTCGCGGTACAAGATAGGAGATTTAGTCGTAATTAGAGACAGTCGTAGGAAAATCGGACAAAGTTCAAAGCTGAACACAAGTTATAAAGGACCTTATCGAATAGCTAAAGTATTAGGATACAACCGCTATGTCGTACGAGATATACCTGGTTTCAATCACCGAGCACGACCTTTAGATACTATTCTATCAGTAGATAAGATTAAACCGTGGATTAAAATTTCGGACGAAAATTCACTGTTACCGAATGAACGAGCGAGCGAAGTAAACGTAGGATAACCCGTAGATTAAGGAACTCGCGAGCAACGTAGGCGAAGAAGGGCCGACGCGAAGTTAGCCGCCCTTATATAAGCTTGGTCAGCACCAGCCGCGGGACGCAGCTGAAGCAGGATGGCCGAGTTGTAAGATACAGACGAGGGAGGACAGCACCAGTCTATTCCGGGGGGGGAGCCACGGGAGAAAGACCGGTCCTAAGAGATCAGACTCGACGGATGGAGAAAAGGATAAAAGGAGACGCAGGGAGAAAGACGGAGCTTTTTACCTTTGGCTTTTCGCCTTTAGCTTTTTGCCAATCAATGTCGAGACGAATAATAGAAATAGAGTCAAGTCGAAGAAAGAGTCGTAGAGCGTTAAGCTTTGTAAAGAGATATATTTGATATAAGTTGCGGTGTCGGATACTATTGTATTATTGTTCATATAAAATATACATACTTATATTCTTGTTCATAATAAGAAGAGTTCACATTAATCGCTCGGAATCTTAACATCCTGAACATCCCTCTTTTACAAACTAAGGAAGAGGATCAAGAAGAAGAGAGACAGAAAGATAATAGAATAGAGAAATAGAGGATCTCTCTTTTTTTAAATCTTACAATATCGTGATATCTTGCTTGATCACTTTGGATAACCTTGTCAATGGAACAAAATTTAGATCAATGAACCACAAATGTAATACAAGTTGAGTAATTATCTGCAAGCATCATTACTTGACATTTTTCCGGCATACGATTCGGTCTTGATACAACATAAATTTTCTTACTTCTACTATTTTGGTCTTCACATAGGTATTGTACATCATCAAAATCTTTTATGAGTCGTACTGTCACACAATCATACTTCTTTTCTTTTGCTAAGTATTAGGTGCGCAACTAAGTTCTCGCTGTTTTTTTGATGAAAATGCAACTTTATTGTGAAAAAATGGTTACAAATGAATCATTCAAAATATTGCCCATCGCTAGCGACAACTTTTCCCCATCTTTCTGGCAGAGCTCGAATACCGTCACGGTAGAAGTGTTCGTCTTTTGAGGTTATCCATGAATCAAGCCACTTTGAGATGTCTTCACATGAGCGGAACTGCTGATTAGCCAGACCATGTGCCATCGAACGGAATAAGTAATAATCGGACGGCGCAATATCTGGGGAATATGGCGGGTGGGGTAGGACTTCCCATTTGAGCGTTTCTAAGTAGGTTTTAACGGGTTTGGCAACGTGAGGCCGAGCGTTGTCATGCTGTAGAATCACTTTTTCGTGCCTCTGCTCGTATTGTGGCCGCTTTTCGAGCAGTGCTCAGCTCAATCGCATCAATTGAGTTCGATACCGTTCCCCAGTGATGGTTTCGTTCGGTTTCAACAGCTCATAATAAATAACACCGCCCTGGTCCCACCAAATACACAGCAAAACCTTCGCAGCGTGAATATTCGGCCGAGCCGACGACGTAGAAGCATGACCGGGCAGTCCCCATGATTTTCTTCTCTTTGGGTTGCTGTAATGAATCCATTTTTCATCACCCGTAACGATGCGATGAAGAAAACCCTTCCTTTTTTGCCGCTGGAGCAGTTGTTCACAGGCGAAAAAACGACGCTCAACGTCTCTTGGCTTCAAATCATAAGGAACTCAAGTTCCTTGTTTTTGAATCATTCCCAACGCATGCAATCGCTTGAAAATGGCTTGGCGGGTAACTCTTAATGCTGAAGCAAGCTCTTTTTGCGTTTGGCACGGATCCTCATCGAGCAATGCCTCCAATTCAGCGTCTTCGAAGGTTTTTGGCCTTCCTTCACGCGAACGGTCGTCAACATCGAAATCACCGTCTTTGAAGCGACGGAACCAATCACGGCACGTTGTTTCACTTAGAGCAGCATCTCCATAAACATTTTGGAATTCTCGATGCGCTTCAGCCGCCGTTTTCTTCGAATGAAAGAAGAAAAGCAACACTTCCCGTAAATGACGATTATTTGGCACAAAATCAGACATTTTCACACAACCAAAAGTATATGACGCAAAAACAAAATCACTAATGTGTCAAAGCGGTTTGTTTACCATATGTCTAAGCTTGGTTCATGACGTTTTGGTTATGTCACAATCGACCAGCACTTACTACTGGAGCCATCTCTTGAAAAACAGCGGGAACTTAGTTGCGCACCTAATATATACATGCAAAAGACATTGTGACTGCGTCAATAATTAAATTCTTTTTCTTTTTACTGCCGTTTATAATTTCCACGTGCAGCTGGCGAGTAATGTACTAATTATCGTGTAACAGTTATTATAGTTAGGCCAAGTTAGGTTGGAGTGCCATATGACGCGGAAGTCCCAGCGGAACGGAACGTGCGTATCCAGGGCGACCAATAAATGCGAAATGGCGCGAAAAGAACTTCTTTCCTTTCTTCCTTCCTTTCTTCCTTCCTTTTTTCCCTGTCAATACTGGCTCCAGGCATTTGATAAGACTAATGCCCCTACGCCACTAATCGATATAAACGTATTTAATACGTATTTTGGATTTTAATATGTAATTTGGCAAAGCCACTGTTTTTGATGATAAAGTTTAATCACGTATTGCCACCGATCCGCTCATGCGAGTTGCGAGCCAGAACTCCGCGCGAAAGAAACGGAATGGCTGTGACTGGTCGTGTTTGCTCCGCGCGTTGCGTTACGCCGACTCTCTCTCTCTCTCTCTCTCTCTCTCTCTCTCTCTCTCTCTCTCTCTCTCTCTCTCTCTCTCTCTCTCTCTCTCTCTCTCTCTCTCTCTCTCCCTCCCTCCCTCCCTCCCTCCCTCCCTCCCTCCCTCCCTCCCTCCCTCCCTCCCTCCCTCCCTCCCACCCCCTCCCCCTCCCTCCCTCCCTCCTCCCTCTCTCTCTCTCTCTCCCTCTCTCCCTCTCTCCCTCTCTCCCTCTCTCTCTCTCTCTCTTTCCCCCTCTGAGAGATAGACGTATGATTTGTCGCTCCACCAAAATCATAGGAGTACAAGGGACATATAATTCGGAGGGTTGTGAAAAGCTTCTTCAGAGGTGTGGGTGTGGATAGAGGGTGCATGGGAGAGACGGCGAATTGAAGTGCGCTGTTATGAGGATGTGGGGAATAAAATTCTAGATAGAATTTTGTGCTGGGCTTTTCATACCTGGGAGCTGGTTGGGATAAGGAGTACGGACGTGTTACAGATATATAGTAGTAGAGGTGAGGGCAAGGTTTAGTAAATAAGCAAGAGTGAGGATATGTGGCATGTCGGTTGTCGATGTTGACATGATTGGCTTTAATTATGCGGAGTATAGGTGCTCTGCGTGCAGGAGCGAAATAAAGAAAATAGCTGTACTGTGTAAGAAGTGTACTACACTTTTCTATCATCCCGGTTGTTTGTTTAAACGTAAAGTCTATAATGCACACAAGGAACTAGTAAATGTGAGGGTCCTTACGAAGAAATAAAAATTGAGTGTGACATAGAAGAAGTGAAGAAAATAACAACGGGAGAGAGTTGCAAAGAGGGTAAGCGAGCTAGAGGAGTGACGGTATCGATATCAAAGGTGTCAGAAAAAATGAGTAATTCTAATATAGAGATGAGAATTGATTGGATGGTGAGAACAATGAAAGAAATGAAAGATGCAATGGCTTGTAAAAATGAAATCAAGATGATGATCAGGGAAATAGTAAAGGAGGAGCTCCAGGAAATTAAGAGAGAGATCGAGGAAATGAGAGGAATGCTACGGGAGAAGGTCGGAGGACTCACAGACGGGATGAAGAGGGACTATGCGAAGGCGGTGCTGGAAAAGAAGAAGGAAAGTGTAATAATAGTCAAGCCAGGCAAGCAACAAGAAAGTGAAACTACAAAGAAAATGATGAAAGAAAGAATAGACATTAGAAATATGGCAATAGGAATAACAAAACTCAAAAAGGGTAATAATGGAGCGGTTGTACTTGGATGTGACAGTGAGGGTGAAATGGAAAAGTTGAGGGTTACGATGAAAGACAAGATGGGTGACGAATATAAGATACTGGAGCCGAAAAGAATTAAACCTAAGATTAAAATAATAAATATTAGTGAAGAGGTAGTAGAATTGAGTGAAGACACCTTGGTGGAGGCAATTGTAAAACAGAATAGAATTGATGATGACAGAGAGGGTTTCCACATGAGAGTCATTAAAAAGATAGTTAGGGAAGCGTGCAACAGAAAAGAGAAGGGAAAAGTTGTTCCATGGTAATGGAAGTGGATGAAGTAACTCATCAATTAATACTAGAGGAAGGAAAAGTAAACATAGAGTGGAGGAGGTATGATGTGTTGGATTATCTTAGTATTAAAAGATGCTTTAAATGCTGGGGATTTTATCATATGGCCAAGAATTGTACACGTGAGGACACATGCCACCAATGTGCAGGAAAACACAAGAGTAGTGAATGCAAGGAAACAAAGAAAAGATGTGTAAATTGCATATACAGGGTGTGCCAAAAGAAGCGGGACGGTCGAATATTTCGCGAAATTTACATCGGATCGAAAAATTGAAAAACACGTGTTCAATATTTTTCAAAAATCTATCGAATGTCACCAAATACGACCCCCCACCCCCACCCCCTGCGAGTGGGGCGGGGGGCAACTTTGAAATCTTAAACGGGAACCCCCATTTTTTATTGCAGATTTGGATTCCTCATGAAAAAATAAGTTACTTTTATTCGGGACATTTTTTTCGAATTGTTGATAGATGGTGCTGTAATCGCAGAAAAACAAATACAGATCAGAAGTCTGCAAACGGTCAAATTTGTCGGGACATACGCTTCGGAACACAAAATTAGTATTTTTGAAAAGGCTATCTAATGATGCTACAGTAGACCGATAGATGGCGCTCTAATTGCAAAAACAATTCTTTCTCGCAAGTGAAAGTATTTCTACAGCTAATATGAGGTTAACGTCTTTCGTTGATTTTGTATCTGACTTTATTAAAAAACTACGTTTAGCATAACCCAGGAACAACGACGTGGACGTAGTAGTTTTTTGTTCCCTTCGGGGTGCTTGTTTTTAGTGAGTCCCCTTGCCTCTCACTTATCGGGGTGCTTGTTTTTAGTGAGTCCCCTTGCCTCTCGCTTATCGGGGTGCTTGTTTTTAGTGAGTCCCCTTGCCTCTCACTTATCGGGGTGCTTGTTTTTAGTGAGTCCCCTTGCCTCTCATGATTGCCGCCAATAACTTTACTGTAGTAAATGCTCAAATTGTGCACCGTTTACTTCCTGGCAGTAAGCTAATCGATGGTAAACAGATTCGATGGAATTTTTTAAGTATTCTGCAGGTATTTGGGCAGCTACATCAATTATTCTTTGACGCAGTTCATCTAAATTTTGAGGTTTCGTTTCGTAAACCCGATTTTTTAAATAACCCCACAAGAAAAAATCAAGTGGAGTTAAATCTGGTGACCTGGCAGGCCATTCGATCGGACCTCTTCGTCCAATCCAACGATCAGGAAAATGTTCATCTAAATAATTACGAACGTTCCGTCCGTAATGAGGTGCAGCACCATCTTGCTGAAACCAAACCTGCTCCAAGTTATCGCCAGCAATCTCCCTTATTGTTGGAATTATTTCATTTCGAAGCATGTTTTCATACCTTTGAGCAGTAAGATTACCATCGATAAAGATCAATCAAATGATTATTTATTATTCCAGCCCAAACGTTTAATTTCTGTGGGTATTGGGTTTTGCTCTCTCGCATCCAATGTGGATTCTCGTCTGCCCAATACCTGCAATTATGCCGATTACAAGTACCATTCAATTGAAATGTTGCTTCATCTGAGAATACAATGTTGTAAAGAAAGTCTGGATCTTGATCTATTCTAAGTATCATGTCCTCACAAAATTCTAAACGTCGGTCGGGATCATCTTCATTTATCTCATGATCAAGTGTCATTTTGTAAGGATGCAATTTATTACTTTTCAAAATCCTGCGGACTGAAGATGTACCAATTTCTTGAGCTTGGGCAGTTCTACGAAGACTACTGTGAGGATTTTCCGTAAATGATAATAAAACATTCAACGCTTTTTCTTCGTTTGTTGCTGACTTTGGTCTTCCTAATTTAGCTCGATCTTTCATAGAGCCTGTAGCTTCAAATCTTCTAACCGTTCTCTCCACAGTCGATTTGGAGATAGGATCCATTCCAATTCGAAAAGTATCATTGAAAATATCTCTTGCTTCCGAGTATGACCTTTTCCTATCACCCCAGCCTACCATCGTTAGTAATGACATTCTTTCTTGTTCATTAAGATGAGCCATTTTGAAAAAAAAAACACATTTTCAAGTAAAATTTTTCTTTATAGATGAAGGTTCATCTGCTTGAATCAACTTAAACAGTTGAACTAATGTGTCATTTAAAAAGTACCTACCAAATGGATGAAGCAAAAAAAATCACAACAAAAATAGTCCACTTTTTGTTTACGTATTTATTAATAAAGAAAAGAACTCTTATCTTGCTGAATATTGTTTACACGAGTATGGAATCACAAACATTTTCATTTCTACTTCAATAGATTAGTTTTCGACAGGTTTATTTTTAATTTGCTTATTGAATAATGGCTGGTAGAGAAGCCGAAAGCTACTACAAGAATACAGTTTATCGTTAATAAAGTGAGGTTCGTCAATTTATAATTCTTCGAATGTTTTATTACCTAGTGTATTTTATAGGGGACTCACTAAAAACAAGCACCCCGATAAGCGAGAGGCAAGGGGACTCACTAAAAACAAGCACCCCGATAAGTGAGAGGCAAGGGGACTCACTAAAAACAAGCACCCCGAAGGGAACAAAAAACTACTACGTCCACGTCGTTGTTCCTGGGTTATGCTAAACGTAGTTTTTTAATAAAGTCAGATACAAAATCAACGAAAGACGTTAACCTCATATTAGCTGTAGAAATACTTTCACTTGCGAGAAAGAATTGTTTTTGCAATTAGAGCGCCATCTATCGGTCTACTGTAGCATCATTAGATAGCCTTTTCAAAAATACTAATTTTGTGTTCCGAAGCGTATGTCCCGACAAATTTGACCGTTTGCAGACTTCTGATCTGTATTTGTTTTTCTGCGATTACAGCGCCATCTATCAACAATTCGAAAAAAATGTCCCGAATAAAAGTAACTTATTTTTTCATGAGGAATCCAAATCTGCAATAAAAAATGGGGGTTCCCGTTTAAGATTTCAAAGTTGCCCCCCGCCCCACTCGCAGGGGGTGGGGGTGGGGGGTCGTATTTGGTGTCATTCGATAGATTTTTGAAAAATATTGAACACGTGTTTTTCAATTTTTCGATCCGATGTAAATTTCGCGAAATATTCGACCGTCCCGCTTCTTTTGGCACACCCTGTATATATAAATGATATAATTAAAAGCTGCCCAGAAGGATGTAGTATAAAATTATTTTCAGATGATACCATATTGTATACAACCGGCGAAAGTTGTAATGAAGTTGAAAAAAAAATGAATTCTATGTTTAATAAAGTTGAGAGATGATTAAGAGTAAATGGATTAAAGTTAAATGCAAGTAAAATAAAATATATTGTAAGGGGTGTGAAGAAAGAATTGAAAATGTGTACGGTTTTGAAATGTATGGATGGGACAACAATAGAACAGGTGGAAAAAATAAAATACGTCGGTGTAATCATTGATAGTAAACTAAAAATGGGTGACTATTGCGATTATATGTGTAAGAAGATAGGGAAGAAAACAAGTTTTTTGAACAGGATGGGTAACAGTATATCGGCGGGTATAAGATGTATCATATATAAATCGATTATTGCGCCTCACTTTGAATATTGTGCGACTATATTAATTGGGATGAGTAAGGAGCAGTTAGATAAATTGCAAATAGCGCAAAATCGTGCAATGAGGGTCATACTGCAGTGCAGACGGGATACTGAGATAGAATGTATGCTGAGGGCTTTGCAGTTTATGACGGTGAGACAGAGGTTGTACTACAATACAGGTATATTTATTTTCAAAATAATGAAAGACCTTTGGCCTGATTATTTGAGAAGGAAGATACAAAGAGTGAGTAGCATTAGTGGTAGACAAACGAGGCAAGGGGAAAATATTGTAGTGCAATTTCGAAGAACAAATAATGCGCAGAAATGTATGTTTTACAATGGAATAAAGATATATAATGATTTACCGATGGAGATAAGGTGTTGTGAGAGATTGGAGCATTTTAAGCGAAAACTAAAGAAGCACATTTTAGGTATAAGTTAAGTATAAGTTAGTGTTAAGTTAATTCACAGCAACTTTTGTATTTAAATGTAGTGTAATAGCTGAGAAAGCTAGTAAAGATCAATCAATCAATAAAAATCTCTCTCTCTCTCTCTCTCTCTCTCTCTCACTTGAATGAATGAGAGAGTGCACCCGAGTGCGTTCGGAAACTGCACTCGGGTGCAGTTCCCGAACGCACCCGGGCGCAGTTTCCGAACGCTCTCTTGAATACATATGGACCAAAGTGTCCAACGGTTAATATTGTGAAAACAACAACGTGCAAAAAGAAATTGTTTTTCTAATTAGTGAAAAATGCCTCGAAATAAATACAAAAAATATTTAGAATACAAATCGAAAGAGACAATACCAAAATCCACAGCGGTGAGTCGACGTATGGTATTGGAACAAGATGAGGTAATTGTCTTGAACCTATACAGTCCCCGGCGAAAATTAATATCGGAGTGTAAGTCGAATGTAAGTAGAGTAACAGATACGTAAACGATGCTTGTAGGAAGAAAAACTTGAAACAACGAAGCGTAAAAGAGTTATTTACGTTTATTTTGTACGTTAATGTTGTTTCAATTTTCGCCTCCTAGAAGCTTCGTTTACGCATCTGTCATTTTATTAACATTCGACTAACATTGCGATATTCATTTTCGCCAGGGATCCATTACCTCTGTAACACTTTTCCATAACATTTTTCTTTATAATAGGCGACGAATGTAATGATAAATGAAGTTAATGCATCGTTTTCTAATTGTAATAATATGACATCTCTTAACGTGGATACAACAGATTGTTCCGACTTTGAAGAAGAATTGGAACAATATGAACAAAGAAGAGATACAGAGGTCAATGAGTGTGAGGTATATTTATTCCTACATATTGTAATGAAACTAATTTCATTGAGATAAACATTAAGTATATATACGTATACCTTATTTCATTTCTTTTCATTTACTTGAAAGAAAACAGTAAAACTAAGCGAAGTGTATAGCTGCATTGAAAATATGGTATATTTATAGGTTAACAATATAATAATTGGTGACCATGAGTTGTGCGATGCTGTTACAAATAATATCAATGCAATATCGAACCCTGTATGTAACAGTGCTGATAGTGATAACGAAAATGAGAGCATTAATGATATTTATGAGAATAAATGGCTATACAATGTTATTCAAGATAACTATTGTTATGACGATGAAGGTGTATGTGATGACAAAGACAGTGATGACGAACCAAATGAGTTCAGACAGAATAACAGAGTACATGAGGTAAGAATTACTTCTATTGTCTCCAATGTTTTCTTTCATACAGATAAAATTATAAGATTGTAATTATAAGATAAAATTGTATATCTGTCAATATATAGGGGAGAAGGGGGCAGCTTCGTACAGGAGGGCAGCTTTGTATAATTTAATAAGCGAGTATAAATTGTAATTTTGAAATGGCAATACAGTTGCCATTTCAAAATAACAATTTGTACTCGAAAAAAAGGACAGATAATTTATTATTCGTAATGTTCAAAGCTGCCTCCTGTACGAAGCTGCCCGTTTCTCCCCTACAATTATATTTTATATGTGCTAGGTATTCCAATGTTACAGTGCTATTGAACGTTAAAAAGTTATAACATTTTTTTTAATTTTTGTGTTGCAGGAATTTTCTAACATGAAGAACATAGAAGATTCATATCTGCAAAATGTTTTGTGTCCATGCACAAAGACAACTGTAGGAGAAGCATTACTTCTTTATATGACAGTAGCACAACGACATTCTTTAACGTGGGTCACCACAATTGATATGCTGAAGTTGATAAATGTACTTTTTAATAAAAATGCTGTACCTACCACTAAGTATAAGCTAATAAGTATTTTCCTGCAGAAATGGATAAAGTGCAATATCATATGACTTGTCCATGATGTACTAAGTATTTGGGTAAACGAGAAACAATGACTGAAAATATGTTATGTCAATGTAGACACATGATTAAATGTCTTGAAACAACATCATATTTTTTAGAATTTAATGTGAAATCACAACTGCAGATTTTATTTTCGGATACAACTATAATAAATAGTCTTTAAAATAGATACTACCGAAGGAAGTTTAATGTAGATGGATTAGAAGATATTTATGATGGAGAACAAAAAGTATATTCAATGTAATTTTTTACGAGATGAATATAACTTTAACACTGATGGATGTCAAACAACAAATTCCTCCAAAGTATCTGTTACGTCCTGGAGGAGAAACGCAACTTGACGCTTGCTTTCGCAAGCTCCGACGTACTCGCAAATCTGTGGAACAGATCAAGGATCGGAATGACCCCTTTATCTGGCGCAGACGTATGTCGGTGGTCCTTTATTTAGGTCAAGGAACTGAATCCTTTTATCTGGGATAAGACCGTGAGCGACAGTTGAGGGAAGGGAGAATTTTTGGTTGAGAATAATTATTTGGAAAACGTGATTGGTTTACAATTACAAACAACTTGTTTTATTAGTGATTAGACGGAAGTTCACAATGAAATAAAATTTGTAAGATTTTATAATGTGTCTGTATACATATGTGGTTAACAATCGCGCTCAGAACAATGATTCTCGATTACTCAGAACAATATTCCGTGTTCGTTATGTCCGACTGTGATCGAAAGGATTGGGCCACTGACGTCTGATTTAACAATTAAGGAGGAATGCCAAGGAGGATAGAAAACGGAAGTAAAACGAAAGGAAAAGAAAAGAGAGAGAAGAAAAGATAAAAAAATGAAACGAGAAAGGTCACTCAGGTAAAAGAAAATATAAGTAACTTACTGCTGGACTTCTCTGATCTTAGTAGACAATGAAAGGTGTGGTTGCTGCGTCTCTGTGAGGATGGACCCAAGTTGCGCCAAGGACTAGAAACTGGTCTCAGCAGGATCTCTCGCAATGTCTCAAGGGTGCACGAGATCGTTGCACAGAAGAATAGATGACTGAAAAACACTGATCTGACTCACTAGTAGGGTTGGTTATCAAAAAACCCTGAAGGGATGTTGGAGAGAAGGCTCTGTCCTGGCTGCGGGTCGGTCGGGAGAAAAAATAGAAGTGGCATAGCTTTTTTACTTTACCAAAAACGTCACCTCGGTCGAGAGGTGGGGTTTGGGAAGTTGCGTTAGGCTCCAAAGTTTATGTCCAAATATGGGTATAGGATTTTGTTGCAAACTTTTCGGAAGTGGGGTTTTAGTAGGGTTCTTAGATAAATATGATAAAGGATCGGGTATCTATGGCAATAAAAGATTTCAAGGTTTCGCTAAGGTTAGTCAGAGGTTGTGCGCGATAGGAATTTATGAATAACGTGGGAAACGCGTGAGTTTCCGAAGATCAAAGGCTAGCAATATCATATAACAGCATGAAAGATTGTCTGGTCGGTCCGTCTTCAAAGAAAATTATTGCTCCAAAGTTATTTAAGGGAAGTTATTTAAGGTTATTTGGAGAGGTAGTATGTGGCCAAAATGACTCAACGGATCTTTTCCGACGGAAATAGAGGAAACTCTGGTAATTAAAGCAGAGAAAAAAGAAAGAGAAATCTGTGTGTGTGACGTCACAGTTCTCGGAGGATCGTGGAATGTGAACATTTGGTAGTATAATATAAAATGCAATCTGCCCTACTTGACAACAAATTCAAAGTACGCGGAGTCCGCAGGACGTAACATATCAATGTGGCCAATATATTTAATGATTAATGAATTTCCTTTAAACGTTCGATCAAGAAATATTATTATCGCCGGTTTATGGATTAATAAATCTGAACCACAAATGCAAGTTTTTCTTCAGCCTTTTGTGGATCAAGCAAATGACTTGGCCACTACAGGTTTTGTGTGGAAATTTAATAACAAACAAATTTGCAGCAAAATATATCCACTGCTGTGTTGTGTTGATTCTGTCGCAAGATGTGCTATGTTCAACATGAAACAATATAACGGACGTTTTGGATGTACTTTTTGCGAACACCCCACGTCAGAAATCAAGGGTGCAATAAAGTACCCAATTTCTACAAATGTGCCACAAAATCGAAGTGATGCTTCAATAAAAAGAGATATGTTACTAGCTTACGAAGCAGGTGAGGGACACGACGTTAATGGTGTGTGAGGCCCTTCTCCTTTAATGAATCTTAATTATTTCGATCTTGCTAGAAGCATGGTTCCAGATTATATGCATTCTATTTTGTTAGGTGTCGTTCGAAAATATACTGAAATTATATTAACTACGACTAACGAAGATTTTTATGTCGGGAGTCCTGACAAATTTCTTATTATTAATAGCCGTTTACTCCAAATGTCACCACCAATGTCTATATCAAGAAGCCCACGAAAGAACGAAGTCTAACTGAAAGAAAGATGTGGAAAGCTTCAGAATGGCGCTCGTGGTTAATATTATATTGTTTGGTATGTTTACATGGAGTACTGCCACATAAGTATTTGCGACATCTAGCATTATTAGTACATGGCATCAATATTTTATTACAGGCTTCAATCACTTCAGCTATGTTACAACGCAGAAAGACTTCTTGTAAGATTTGTTGTACTTTTTCAAAAGTATTTCAAACAACGAGCGATGACTTTTAACGTTCACCTCATTTTGCATTTATGTGAAGGCGTTACAAATTGAGGGCCATTATGGACTCATAACACATTTCCCTTTGAAAGTCAAAATAGACATCTTCTTCAATTGATGAACAATCCGAATCGAGTAGCAACTGAGGTAGCATGTAGAATATTGTCATTCCAAAAAATGTCTTTATTTAAAGAACGAATACATTCGAGTCCAAATATACAAAAATTTTGTGAAATGATATCCTGCAAAAAGCCATTATTATCGAATGTCACAAAAATTGATAATTACCTTCTAATAGGACATGAGAGGAAATGTAATTTCACTGCAGAGGAAATTGCGTCTTTAGATCATCCACAACAGTACACTGAATTCGATAAATTTATATATAATGGAGCGAGATATACGACGACGACGTATCAGTCTCGACGTTGCAAAAAATATAACGATTCTGTCATACGCATGAAATCAGGCGACATCGGATGTATTACACGTATATTGCGAACAGATAGAGGAGGAATGACAAAAACTGTATTATTAATTCGTATTTTTGAATTAGAAAGTAGTTCTTTCATTACCGATAATAACATCAAAGTAGAGCACATAAGGAAATGTTATAATTTAAACTCTGGCTTAAAAACATTTCAACCAGAAGATATAATAGGTCAATGCGTGATGATAGAAAGTTCTAATAGATATTACATTAGCGTTATATCAAAAGGATGTATCGGCGATTAAATGAAGACGATTTTCACTCCGCATATGTTTCATTTGGATTTTATATACAATATTTGTAACATTGTTTTATGTGTAACTTGATGGGATGAAAAAAATATATTTACTTAAAATTTTAATCACTTGCTTACTTTTTTAAATGTTTTGAATAATATCCTGTTTTTGTCCAGTAATTTCATTTTCATGATAAATAATTGTAACGAGGCGCAGATGCACCTCGTTACTACCGGCCCGACCGACCACCTGTCGGGCCGAAGAACGGCGCTTTGCGCCACCCTAAAATAGCGAAGACGATCGCGCCGCCGTTATCACGCGCCGCCGCTATCGCGCGCCGCGGCGATCACGCGCTGCCGCTAGCGCGCGCGGCCGCGATCACGCGCCGTCACCGTGCCTCGCGCCGATAGGCGCGCCTCTCGATCGCCGCCGTATCAATCGTAGCGCGAACAACTATAAAACTGCGGCGATCGAGCTCCTAGACACCAGACCGATCCGTACCGCCGATTCGATCTAGACGCTTGTATGTCGAAAGAGAGAATATCCGGACCGTTTCGCTCTGCTTTCCGTATTCCGACTACCCGACCGGCGACTAAGCAAACGGGATTGTGCGTCCGCAGTCTCGATCGAGCGTTCTCGATACTTGGCCGTCTCCCGTCTTCCTGGGCTCGTGTGTACGCGTGCTCAGTCGAGCGTACTCGACAGTCTCTCGCCTTTACCCGCCGCCTCGAGTCAGGGGTTCGTCCGTCGGCGAACTCCGCTGAGCGTACTCAGCCTTTAGGCGATCCGTCTAGCGACCAGGAACCCGGGACGGTGTGTTCGCCGTCTCCGCTGAGTGTCCGCAGCACTTGGTCGCTTTCCTCCACGAACGTAGGGAAAAGGGAAGGTGCGTACGCCTTCTCTGTCGAGAGTCCTCGGCCCCGATGAACGAAATCATTTCGCGTATCCCGCGACTTGCGTGCGTGCGTTCGACCGGGATTCGAAATCTCCGGTCCGGCGACCATTTTTACGCGAGCAATTCCGAAGCGAGTATTGGGCGATAATTGTCCGAGACGCCCAGCGTCGCGAAGCGAGACCGATCACCGCGCCGTTACCGTCGTTACGATCTACACGCGTCGCGTAATAGGCCCCGCCTTCCGCACGGCCTATCCGTCTGTACGAGCGCTCGCACCGCTCACCGCACCGCACCGTACCGTACCGACGCGCCTTACAAACGCAACCCGCGACATCGCCTTCGGGGCCGAACTCTTGTATCAACTTAAATATAGAATAAAGCTAACGTACTTATATTACTCTCGAACGTCTCGCTGCTTTCCTCCTCACCGAACCCGGACTCCGACGAGCCTTATCCGCGCGAAACGCGTAGCAGCGACCGAACCGCGGAGTTCGGCCGTTACATAATATTTGCATATCTAAAATATTTGAATGAATGTATATAGTACAATGTACATAAAAAACATTCTGGAATTTCTGAGAAAATCTGAGAAATTATTGATATTTCTCAGAAATTTTCATACATAGAAATACAGAAAAATTCTGTGGTTTCTCATCCAGTTATCTCTGAGAAAATCTGAAAAATTATTAATATTTCTCATAAATTTGCTTACATAGAGATTCTGAAAATTTCTGACAATTCTCATCCACTTAGTACTGAGAAAAT